CTAAACCCTGATCCACCAGTCCAAAATCTGCTATGGCCAGGCCTGGATTCGCTCCTATGCACAGAAACTGCGCTGAATAGCACCAAGGGGTCTATAACACTTCTGTAAGGGATCTAAGCGTTTGAGGTTTTGAGTTTAGGGTTTTGGGATGTTTGGGTGTAGGGCCCTCGAATCCTACCGCTGTAAACCATAGCATTCTACCCATAGGCCCTAAAGTAGTTCCTGCTTGGGGTTCATATATAGAATCCTATAACCCCCTAAACCCTAAACCCCAAAAAGGAACTACTACGGGGCCTATGGGTAGATTTCTGAACCCCGAGATCCGAACCCCTCAAACCCTAAACCCCACATTCCCATCTTCAGTTTAGGGTTTAGGGTTTAGGGTACAGGGTTTAGGGGTTTAGGGTTTAGGGTTTAGGAGTTTAGGGGTTTAGGGTTTAGGGTTTAGGGTGCAGGGTAAGCTTCTCTCCCCTGTAGAGGTTCTTGAGTGTGTTCCAGATAAGTATACTCTATAGAAAGGCTGGAATAATTGACTAGTATGACATTATGACCCCCATTATAGTACGCTACTATCAACCCCGAGCTTATGTTTATATGTTGGCCCCCATGTTTTGTTTTCTAGATCCCTGCGAACGTTGTTGCATGTGATGGCTCCAGACTCGAAAGTGGACTGCCTAGTCGGTATAGCAAGCCGATTCAGGCCTGCTTCCACACCACATGTGTTTGTTTCTTTCTTCTGGAGTGGGGGGGGAGGTTGGCGGGCTCTCCTAAAACCCTAAACCCTAAAACCCTAAAACCCTAAACCCAAAACCCCAAGAGCCCTAAGCCATTTATTGGAACTGAATAGTAGGAGAAAGGGCAGTCTTACTAGGCCGCCTTGAAGGGGAACCTTGGAAGTTGGTCGATTTGCGGCTCGAGCTTGCAAGTCCGTTCCATTAAATGGCTTTGGGTTTTAGGGTTTAGGGTTTTAGGGTTTAGGGTTTAGGGTTTTAGGGTTTATGGGTTTATAAAGGTTTTACTAAGGAGAGCCCCAGATATCGAAACCCAAAACAGGTTTTAGGGTTTAGGGTTTAGGAACAGCCCAATGATTATGCAATCCCATGCATCCTTTTCAACTACCCTCACGCCCTAAACCTTACAGACCCTCAAGCCTGAAGCCCTGAAGCGCCCTAAATCCCCATAAGCCATATAAATCCAAATCCCCTAACCCCTTAAACCCGGAAGCCGTGCATCCTGGACGCAAAGGACGATCTATCATCCTGTGGCAACCTGTGCGCTCAACACAGTCGTGGATCCCGAATGCCGTGTATTTCAGGCGCTCCGTTGGATCGATGATGTTTTTAATGATGTTTCAGCCAGGTGTGGAGGCTTCTAAACCCTACAAATCCTGGCTTCTGAGCCCTGAGCCCTGATCCCTGCTCCTCTTTCCTGATTCCGGAGAGCTTGTACAGGTGGATGGGCTGCGGGTGGCGGATGCAAGCATCATGCCAGATGCCCTGTCCGGCAACACCCAGGTCACCCGAATCCTCTTTCGGGTTTTAGGACTTGCGTTTGCAAACCATAACACCTTCAACTGGAAACGCTATGCCCTAAACCCTCAACCCANNCCCCCCCCCCCCCCCCCCCCTCTGCGTTCCACTGTGAACTGGAAGCACTATGCCCTCAGCCCTAGGCCAGCAAGAGTCCTCCGCCGAGCCTTTAGTGCCGGTAGAACGCAACCCGCGGACTCTAATTACTTGTAACCCTACCTGGCACTCTAATGACCTACAGTCTTAATATGGGCTCTACCTACCAATTAAGGGGTAATGGCTGCTAAACTGTAGGTGAAGAGAGTTCTAGGTAGACTGTAAAGCCCTATAAACTCTACAATGTCGTCAGACCCGAAACGCTGTTATAAAGACCATGCCCTAAACCCTGAACCGAAAACCCTAAACCCTGAGAAAAAATATTCGCTAAATCCTACCTAGAGTCTCCATTGTAGTTCCTTTTTTTGGTTAACCAAAGATATTGTTAGGATCCTACAAGCTAACCCCCAAAAGGAACTACAATGGAGACTATAGGTAAGACATCTTGGCGGTCTCTGGGCTTGTGGCTTTCAGAGGTATTCGGACGTGAGGTGCCGGTTTGTGGGTTTGTTTTGCGGGTTTAGGGTTTAGGGTTTCTTTGGAGCTTAAACGGCGGTGGTAAAAAAGATGTTATACGTGAAGACAAAGAGCGCCTTATGTGCGGCTTGGTTCTTTTCTCAGTCTACCCATAGGCCCTACAGTAGTTCCTTTTTAGGGTTCATATTTAGAATCCTATACGGTAACCCCCAAAAAGGAACTACTNNACTATGGGGCCTATGGGTAGAGGCAGTAAGATCGATGTGCAAGAAGCACTGGCAGCTTTCTGCAATTAACCTCCGATGTGACACGTAGCCCTACAGCGAGCCCCAGAATGCGGTGAGCTTCAGAAAGTTGGGCCGGCAGTGCGGACGGACTTCCGAGCAATTAGTATGTGGGGGCCTAAATAATCTTATATATAATTGATCCCAGAACCCTGTTCTAATTCCCAATGGGGCTCTGATTGCTTCATTAGTCCAACAAGGACTCTCGTGACACTGATTGGAAGGTTGTCAGTCCCACTGTCAGATTTTGGTATGTTGCGTCATACCTTAAATTGGGGGGGGGGGGGGGGGNNGGGGGGGGGGGGGGAAAGCAGATACAATATCGCCATGTGGTCACCTTACATCTTGTTACAAGGAACCCTGGCTACTAAGCTGATCTTCTAATTGCCACTTAGTGCCGTATATCCTTGTGTGATGACAGGCCGCCTGCATCATGATTGGTGAGAAGGCAGCCGACATGATTGCTCGGCAGTACGGATTGCATATTAGCTCGTAAAAGACTGACCGGCCGTGTCACGCACAGTGTTATTGCCGTGGCACCTGTCAGCATGTTTTAATGCACCTAAAGCAAGATTCCGTCGCCAGTCGGCTACAATAGCCACTGAAGATCGGACTTCGTTTCATGGGCGCTCTCGCTCGTAGGAGACGATTATACGAACTGAACATAGTTGGAGGAGACCGGCAAACGACCGGCATTTAGATGCATCTCTTTTGCGGAACCCCGTTGAAATGCCCCCCCATCCCCATAGGCTTTGTTTTGGCCCCTTTCGACTTACAACACACCACGACAAGGTGTGGACCCTAAACCCTAAACCC